CTGTTGGCATGTTAATGGGAGGGATTTACTCAGGCTGATCAGGTGCAAGGACTGTCTGTGACCACTGACCCCTGACCTCGGTGGATCAGCTGTGCAGGGGTTTATCACACAGAGGAGGACTTAATTCAGCAGTGCTCTGGTACCCACTGAGTCCACCCTTTGAGTGTGTCACTTGTACAGGTGACTGGTTGGTGGTGCTTTGATGTGGTCTGAAGCTGTCCACTGGGTGTGCTGGCTCTGAGACCTCCCAGGAGGTGCACGCTAAGGTCAGCCATCACCTGTGTTACAAAGGCATAACTTAGAAAGAGATCTTCAGATGGCTGCTTCTTGTGCTGGGATTGGAGGTGCCCAGGTAAGGCCATGCTGTAAACCAAGGCTGGCTGCTGCTAGTGCCTAGCCTGGGGCCACTTAGAGATAGGTATGGGGCTCATTAAGACCAGTTGGCTGCTTGTTTGAGATATTTTTAGGAAAATCTAAAGCCAGAGCCAAGACAGGCCATTCCTATGGTAAAGCCACTGGAAACAACTAGAATGGACTCAAAATCTGAGTGGGACAGCATCTCCAGGAATCACCAGGGGGCAGCAAACAGTGGGACCTAGATGGATGGGCTCTCAAATGTCTATGGCGCCCAAACGCTGGCTCTGTTGGGAAAGGGCTCATCAAAGGAAAAATGGCTTTTGCCAGCATTTCTGTCTCGAAGAAAGCTGTCCCTCCAGCTCTCGCCCTGATGTCAAACAATTCAGTTCCTCTCAGTATGTCTCTGGTACTTCTCAAGTTGCTGCCCCTGCGCTGGAGCTTAGAGGGGGTAAGTCTGAGCAAGTCCGTGCACGAGCCCTTTAAAGAGGAACTACCTGGGGTTCCAGCAGCCTCAGCCTCCCTCCTCAATCCACACTGGTTTTTACAGCCAGAAGTTATGAGGGCCACTGAAACCTTGAGCGGGGGACCTGATGTGGGCCTGGGACCCCATGCTCCTCAGGGGGGAATATACACAGTTGACATACCTTCCCTGATTTTTATCCACCACACATGGGTGTGGGAACAGCCCTTACATGTCTATGCCCCTCCTACCAGATGTGATGTGGCTTCTTTAATTTTGTGCTTGTAGAACTTCCATTCTGGTTGATTTTAAGTGGTTCTGAATGATGGTTATTCTGTAGTTTAGTTGTAGTTTTGATGTGGTTGTGGGAGGAGGTAAATACTGCGTTTACCTACAATTTTGTTCTCTGATACCTCCAACTTTGTTCTTTTTTTCTCAAGATTGCTATGGCTATTCTTGATCTCTTGTGGTTTCATGTAAATTTTTAGATTATTTATTCTAGTTCTGTGAAAAATGCCATTGGTAGTTGGATGGGAATTGTGTTGAATCTGTAGATTGCTTTGGGTGGTATGGGGCATTTTAATTATGTTAATATTTTTATCCATGAACACAGTATTTGCTTCCATTTATTTGTAACTTCTTCAATGTCTTATAATTTTTTTTTAGTATAGGTCTTTTTCCTACTTGGTTAAATTTATTCTTAGTTGTGTTGTTTTATTTTTTATGCAGTTGTAACTGGGAATTTTTTAGTTTCTCTTTCTAATAGTTCATTATCTATATAATAAAAGCCCAGTGATCACTATGGTGGAAGGACCTGTTGCTATGATGCTGGCTGCAGGGGCCACCACCAGCGTTGCTGAGCCCCAGGGCCCCAGGGCCAGTTGTACAGCCGTCACCAAGGTACAGGTGGCCAGTGTGAGTGTGCAGCTTGAGATGAAGGCTCTGTGGAATGAATTCAGTCAGCTGGGCACTGATATGACTGTCACCAAGACTGGCAGGTCAGGGTGCCCCTCTTCTCCCCACGACCCTCCCCACGTGGTGCCAGTCTCGGGCAGCGGGCTTTGGAGCTATCCACATGAGCGAGACTGAGTAGCAGGTGGAGGGCGTGGCCTGGCCACCTGCAGGTCCCTCTCGGCGTGGCCAGCTCCTTCGCTCTCTGAGTTCTGGCTCTAGTGACAGCCGCCTGGCACACCAGGCTGGAGGGTACTGCTCGGGCCAGGAAAATGGCAGAGAGAAATACTGTGGACCTTCCCGTCCCTTCCCCCCTCTCCCCCCCTCCCAGCAGCAGGACCAGCAGCCCAGGACCCGGCACTGTCAGAAACAGATTGGATCAGAACACACTGAGCTTGGGAGGGGCCTTGCCACCAGCTGGCTCCCATTGGATCCCACCTCAAAGGAAATTCAGTCTTTCGTTCCCTAGTTCAGTCTATTGCTGCTAGAGAGGAGCAGCTGGGCACATTTTAGGGAAGAATTAAGACTAAAACAGTGTGTTCTGTTCTGTGGAGATTGCTACCCAATTGCCTTAGGCCTAAATTCCCGGTGATTGTGAGGCCTGGCTCTGCCACTGGGACCTGCGTCTCCCACTTGGCTTGGATGTGTTGTAAGGGCCCAAAGAGAAGAAGGGATCAAGTTTTCGATGCAATGGATTTGAGCAACAGACAAAGGCGAGTGCTGGGCTGTGTCTAAGGTACACACAGAGGCACCAGCTCTGAGTCCGCCTGGCCAAAGGGAGCTCAGGGCCTGTTTGCAGGGCCTTCTGGGGGTTTCTGTTTCCTGCTGAGGCTGTCCTTCCTGAGAAGCCTGGGGCCCATGCTCAGCCCAGCATTCCCAGTCTCCTCTCCTTGCTGGCCCCTCTCCAACCCTGATTAGCCCCCTCACTCCATCAGGGGAGGGGCCTGCTGACCAACCTCCTATGGTCCCTCCCCCCTGCTGGCTAGACCCAATTGGCCCTGATCGGGGTGGGCTGGCTGGACCCTACCTGTGCACGAATTTATGCACTGGGCCTCTAGTTGGTGTATAAAAATGCAACTGATTTCTGAAATATTTACTTTTGTATCCTATTACTTTACAGAATTCACTTATCAGTTCCAATTGTATTTTGGTGGGGTATTTATAGTTTTCTATTTACAGTATTATGAGTCATTTGCATATAATGACAGTTTTATTTCTTTCTTTCCAATATGGATGCCTTTTATTTCTTCTTCTTGTCTGATTGCTATGGCTAGGTCTTCCAGTACTATGTTGAATAAGAGTGGTGAAAGTGGACATTACTGTTTTATTCCTGATCTTAAGGATAACACTTCTAGATTTCCCCATTGAGTATAATGTTAGACTTTTTTTAATATATGGCCTTTATTATATTGAGGCCAGTCCTACTTTGCTGAAAGTTTTTATCATAAATGAGATCTGCACTTTTAAAAGTGCTTTTTCTGCATTTTTAGGTTGATAGGATCATATAATTTTTATTCTTCATTTTGTTTATGTGCTGTTTCACATTACTTTATTTTCAGATTTTGTACAAACATTGAATTCCAGGAATAAATCCAAATTGGAGTGAGGCAGTGTTGGGATACTATGAAATGGTTAAGTGCAGCCTTTCACAGTATTTGGCCTCCCTCTGGAAGTGGCTATTAGTGCTGATTTATTCCTCTTTAATTTAGGAGGGGAACTACCTCTTGCCTCATATGAGTATAAGCTTTTCCAGGGGAATTTCTGGTACTTAGCACAATGTGCAGTACAGAGTAGGCCTCCAGAATTATTTGTTGTGTGAAATGTTGAATCAACTTATATCATGGAAAGAGCTACTAGTAAGTACTGTGAGAGAGTCAAAGAATATGATATACTGTTATCATTAAATTTTTTTTAAGTAAATATATATTTTAATATAACCATAAATGGTATAGTCTAATTGGGGAGACAAGAAATACACAAAAATAGAAAGATCAGCTCAGAAGTGAAAATAGTAAGTGCTGTGGGAATTTTGAGGATGGAGAGTAAGTTGCCATAGCTTAGCCTTGTCTCCTTCATGAAGCTGGGGTGAGGAAGGGTTGATATGGTCCTTGTGGTATAGGAATGAATTACACAGGGCGAGTAGATGAGTGAGGAAATAGGGGGCTTACCAGTTCCAACACAAAGCTGCGGGCAGTGATGGTGCAGCTGCGGTATTCTGAGCTGCGGTATGGTTCACCTTTTTCTTCTTTACCTCTCCACCCTGCCCTCCATGGAAAGCCTCACTGGGAATAAAATGCTAACACTTTATCTGCTTACCTATATCAAAATAGCAGCTGGGGAGAGCATTTTGCATTCATTACATGGACATACAGGAGTGGCAGACTCTGAAGTGCTCTGCCTCTAACCGATGAAGATTTGGTGATGAAGGATTTGGATGTCCTGTCTCTCTGCAAGCTTAGCTTTCCTCTCCTGTGTCTTCAGGACCGGTGTCTTTACTTCTGTTGCTTGTTTCTCAGCTGAAGGAACATAGGGACCACATATGTGTTGGGGGAGCTGGAGACCCAAAGGGTGTTTCCTGATTTCTCCCATACAGAGGGCCAGCACTCTTGTTTTTTAGAGTATGACAGGGGGCTTGCATAGTATTCCAGAATTCCACATAAAGTCACAAATGTTTCCTCTTAATGCTTTTTAAATATAATTACTCCAATAATATTATATGACTTGCACTATAATGGAATTGAAGTGATTTTTTTTTTTTTTTTACTTAGACTTCTGTAGAAATTTAACAGTTACTTTAACTTTGCAATTTTTAAGAGTTTAAAGACATTCATCTTTGCTCTCTTACAAGTTAAAACCTAAATAGGTAGTAGGACCAATATCATTGTATTTACACAGAAGACTGGGGTTGGGTGGATATGGAATAGATGTTACTGTCCCTGGCTAGTTTCTTTCCCCACATGACTTTGGGCTTTCTCAAGGTCAAAGAAATGTGGTATCTTTCCTCTTACCCTGTTTTCTGATCTTCCCTGCTTGCAGGAATCCTCTGAAGAAAAATGTGCTGCTTACCTGAATCCCAGCTTCTCCTTTATACTCAGAACTATGAAGGATGCTAGCAGAGAAGAAACAAATGAATCTGAAAGCTCACCTGCAGCTCAGAAAAATAAAGACATGGAGTTTTGAGAAGTGAAGGTAGCATGGTGTTAGCCATGGGTGATCAAGACACAGCCAGATAATGTGGATCAGTTTTTATAAACTCCGGCTTTTCTGCTGTCTGCTTGCAGTGTTGACGGTGGTGGTGCTGGTCATCAATGTTACTCAGGTAGAGGTGAGTACTCAGTATATTCTTATAACTAAGGGGAACCAAATTGAGGGATTTGGGGGCTAACTACCTTGGGAACTGTTGATCATCAGGAAACTTATCCTGGTCATGGTGCTTATTTTCAGTAAGTATTTGAGAGCCCACAATAGTTGTAAACTGCGCTAGTCACCAAGGGTATAGTGGTAAAGACAACAGACATGATTTCTTCACTGTGGAACTCAAGTTCTAAATACATGTGAGAAAATAATAGTACTAAGTAATTATAATTATAATAAAAATGATAATTTGAAATTGTGAAAAATGCTATAAAGAAAGGAAAGCAGGCTACTATAGAGTAGGGGTTAGGGTGATGGAGGAAAGCCTTTGCAAAGAGGGACCTTTTAGTTGAAGATGCAGACTTTGACCTTCAGTTGTACCAGTTCCAGGAGCTCTGCTGACCTTGAGCCATAGAACTAGGATGATGTAAGACAAGGATGATGAAGATCAGGATGTCACACATTAGACCATCACTTGACCAGATTCGAGGCCCTTATTGGAATGGACTGTGCTGGCCTGCACATAGAGAATTTTTCAATCCCCTCTCCTTGGTTTATTTGCTCTGCTTTGTCTTTCCTTCCTTATAAAACCCTCTGCCTGCATTGAGATGTTGAGATGGATTTTGTGTCAAGAGTCCCATCTCCTCAGGTGACTGGCACTTGAATAAAATCACTTCCTTTTTCAGCAGCATCTGTCTCATGAGTTTGGTTTTTGTGGCGGCAGGCAGCCAAACTTGGGTTCCCATTACAATTACACACAGGCCCTTACGAACTCTGTTGAGTACTTGTGTGGGACTCTCAGGAGATCTCTTGAGTTCCCTCTCTGTGCAACTGTCCTGTGGATTCTGATCAGGTTGGTCTTTTAAGACTCTTAGCTCCATTGTCTCAAGTGAAGTACCAGTAGCTTACCAGGCTGCACCTGGGTTCCCTACTTTGTGCTGCAGCTTAGAAACTCTCTCAAGGCTGTAAGCAAACGTCCGTTACAATTATCACCTCCTTCATTTCCTTTCAGGCATCTTTTTCTTTTGTTGTCTGATGTCTAATGTGTGGAAAATGATTATTTTATACATATTCTTTTAAAAAACATTTGTCTCAGATGGAGAGGCAAATCTCACTGTTTCTCTATCTTGACTAGAGGTAGAAGTCTGAGAGACTTAATTTTGAGGGGAAGAAGATAATAGAGAAACTGGAGAGGGGAAGGTTAATAGACCCAGGGGAAGAGAAGGGGATGGGATGTAGAGCACAAATGGATCATACAACTCTCTGTGGGATGAGGGGAATGGTGCATTGTGTATGTTGTTATTATCATTGGTTTTGTAAGTGTGTGTTTTCTTCTACCACATTCAATAGCCTGAGTATAAGAGCAGAGAAACGAGAGAGTTGTGTAGATCTAGGGTAGGTAAAGGGAGAAAGAAAAACTTGAGAGGATAAGCCAATGTTTCACATCATTAGTGTTAGAGTCAAAAAGGAATGTTATCAAATTTCCCTACAATGGTCCTACAATAGTCCTTGGAAACTTCTGGACCTCATGTCAGCTAACATTATCAGCACAAACTGACCAATAATGGAGAAGGAGGCAGGTGTAGTAAATTAGGACAATTCTGACATCAAAAATAATAAGTAGTTCATTTAGTGGAATGAGGTAAAATATTTCCCTTGCCTAAGAAGTCATCTTGTCCAGGTTGAGAATATTGCCATGACTTTTGAACTGTTCGATATATTATTATGATTATAATTGACTAGAGGCCCGTTGCACCAGGATTCATGCAATAGACCTTCCTTCCCCTGGCTGTCAGCACTGGTTTCCCTCCGGCACCCAGGACCCAGCCCTTTGCTCCAGCCAGTCTTCTGTCTTCACTGTGGCTGGAGCCTTCAGTGTTCACTCTGGCCAGAGCCTTTAGTCTTCTCTGCTCTGGCCTGAGTGCCACTCCTGTAGCTCCCTCTGTTGCCTGCCTGCCCCCTCATAGCAGGTGTCTGGCCCTGTCCTGCGCCTGTGTATGCAAATTAACCCACCAGGTTTTTGGAGGTTAATTTGCATATTCACTCCTGATTGGCTGGTGGTCATTGCAGAGGTACAGTCAATTTGCATATTTCTCTTTTATTAGTGTGTGTGTGTATTTTTTTTTTTAATTTTTAAAAAACAAATTTTTAGCTGAAACCAGTCTGGCTCAGTGGATAGAGCGTCAGCCTATGGACTGAAAGATCCCAGGTTTGATTCCGATCAAGGGCATATACCTTGGTTGCAGGCACATCCCCAGGAGGGGGTGTACAAGAGGCAGCTGATTGATGATTCTCTCTCATCAATGTTTCTAACTCTCTATCCATCTCTCTTCCTCTCTGTAAAAAAAAATCAATAAAATATATATATAAAAATAAAAATAAATAAATCTTTATTGTTCAGATTATTACAATTGTTTCTCCCCCCCACCCCCCACCCCCTGCTGTCTTCATTCATAGATACATGATTTTTGTCCAGTCTCTTCCCATACCCCCTACACAGACACCCCTTTCTCCCTGAGAATTATCAATCCCCTCCCATTCTATGCCCCTGATTCTATTATATTCACCAGTTTATTCTGTTCCTCATATTTTTAATTCACTTGACTTTTAGATTCACTTGTTGATAGATATGTATTTGTTGTTCATAATTTTTTATCTTTATTCTTTTCTTCTTTTTCCTCTTTTTAAAGAACACCTTTTAGCATTTCATATAATACTGGGTTGGTGGTGATGTACTCCATTAGCTTTTTCTGATCTGTGAAGCTTTTTATCTGCCCTTCAATTCTGGATGTTAACTTTGCTGGGTAGAGTAATCTTGGTTGTAGGTTCTTGCTGTTCCTCACTTTGAATATTTCTTGCCACTCCTGTTTGGCCTTAATAGTTTCTGTTGAGAAATCAGCTGATAATCGTATGGGTACTCCCTTGTAGGTAACTAACTGTTTTTCTCTTGCTGCTTGTAAGATTCTCTCTTTGTCCTTTGCTTTTGGCATTTTAATTATGATGTGTCTTGGTGTGGTCCTCTTTGGATTCCTTTTGTTTGGGGGTTCTGTGTGCTTCCTGGACTTGTAAGTCCATTTCTTTCACCAGGTGGGGGAAGTTTTAGGTCATTATTTCTTCAAATATGTTTTCATTGTCTTGCTCTCTCTCTCTTCTTCTGGCACTCCCATAATTCTGATGTTGGTACGCTTGAAGTTGTCCCAGAGGCTTCTTACACTATCTTCAACTTCCTGGATTCTCTTCTCTTCTTGCTTCTCCAGAAGAGTATCCTTTGCCTCTTTGTATTCCAAATCTTTGACTTGATTCTTGCATTCCTCTAGTCTGCTGTTGGGTCTCTGTACAATATTTTTTATTTCAGTCAGTGTATGTTTAATTTCTAGTTGGTTTAATTTCTTTTTCATATCCTCGAGGGTCTTTTTAAATTTATCAGCCTTTTCTAGGAAATTCTTGAAAAACCTTATAACCGTGGTTTTGAACTCTATATCCAGTTTTTTGTTCTCCTCCATTTCTTTTGTTTGAGATCTTCTTCCTTTTGTCAGCATTTTCGCTGCTTACGCAAAAGCAGCTGTGTGGAGCCTGGGTGGGTTTGTAGAATGTGCAGGGTGAGGCCTCAGGGTGGGGTGGGGCCTCAGAGCCGGGTAGGGTCTCAGGATGTCACTAGGCTAGGGCATGGCAAACAGCGATGACTACCATCAGCTGTCTCTGCCTTTCAGCGTTTCCAAGTCCCCGAGCTCCAGTGCAGTAAACAATGGTTGCTGCGCGCACCTCTGCAAAAATGTCAGTCTCACTTTCAGACCCGTTGGCCAACAGACCAGCTTCTCCCTGTAGGCATCTGGGTCCCCCGCATGACCCCAGAAACTGGATTTCAAAGTGATCGGGAGCTTGTTTCCTTTCTGGTTGAGAAAAAAAGCCACGTGCCCAGTTGCCCGCCAACAGCCCAATTCCAGTGCCTCCGTATCTAGGTTTTTCAGCTTTTCAGCACTCGTGCTCTTTTCTCTCTCAGCCAGCTTTCCCATGGTTCTGGGTAATAGACGTTTTGTCTTTTAGTTGTAGTACTGAAATTGTTGTGCCAGGCAGCAGGTTGGTTCCTCACCTACCCCGCCAACTTGTTTTTTTTCAGGGTAGATTTTTTATAAAGTAGCTTGATGGAAGGGAGAGGGAAAGGCTCTGAAATTTAGCAGTCTCTTCTCCCTTAAGCCCCTTTCCATTCTATGTCTCTGATCCTTATTCTTCTTGTGTTAGCATGTCTGAGCATTTCATAAAAAGCACAGACTCAATTTTAAAATATATTTTTATTGATTTCAGAGAGGAAGGGAGAGGGGGAGATAGATAGAATCATTAATGATGTGAGAAACTCATTGATTAGCTGCCTGCTGCACGCCCCACACTGGGAATTGAGCCCACAATCCAGGCATATATCCTTGACTGGAATCAAAACCAGGACCCTTCAGCCTATAGCCAATGGTCTATCCACTGAGCTAAACTGGCTAGGGCCACAGACTCAATTTTAATTAAAAATATCACATAATATGAGGAGGAGGTTATAGGGAGAATTGTCTGGTATTTCAGGGATAAGCTCTCATTGAGCATGGCTTGTATTTTATTTGTGTTTCCCCCCTTACTCATTGATATTTTAAGAATATATATATTTATGATTATAGAAACAGTACTAGTATAATATTGAGAAATATTACTCATTTGAATGGAAGTTAGGAGGTAGATTGGGAATAGTTGGGCGTAATTTAGGCTGTTTCTCTGTAAGTTTCTCAGCTGTGCCTGCCTTTGTTAGTTTTTATCTGTGGCTTTTCTCTCTCTTGTGGTTGGATTGTAGGATGTAGCTATAACAAGACATGGCTGTTTTTTTGTATATCTCCATTTAAAAAAAAACAGTTTATTCCCTCAAAACACTTAAGAGATTACTTACATCTTTTCATTTGCAGAGCACTGGTGGTGTATGGATTAGACTGCATACAT